ACGTCTCACTGCTAAACTATCAGTCTGCTCTGTATCCATCATCTGCAGCACCAGTTGCAGGAGTGGCCCAGCAGAGTGTTTCCTTGCAACCTGGAACCACCCAGATCTGCACGCAGACTGACCCATTCCAGCAAACGTTCATTGTTTGTCCCCCTGCTTTTCAAAGTAAGCGGAAAAACCCTTTGTATGGTACTGTGGTTTCAGTTAGGTAGAAACGAGAAGCTGTAATTTGCACGAAATTGAGAAACTACAGAAGACCACTCTGTGCATGTCACACAGTGCTCTTGCATCAGATGTCGTGCAGAATCAGGTCAGACATGTAGACAATTTGGTTCTCTTCCAGGTCATGCTTGAACAGGTGACAGTATCTTGCCTGCCTAGGTTGCAGTCTTCATCTGGTTGCTGAACCAGTTTTTCCCCCCAAACTGAACACAACAGCATTCCACAGAAAGCAGCGAACAGAGGAGCCAGCCCTGTCCGAAAATAAGAAAGTGTTGTGCTATGTTTTGTATGTCAGGAGGGAATATCTGGTCTTTGAGTCTCGGTTCACAAGCACTGATGCAGCTGTGTTGTTTGCTAGCAACGAATTGTCACAGGTTGCAAATACGTGAGGTTAGCACAGGCATAGCTCTGTTAATCCTGAAAGTTCTCTATGCTTATTTCTGGATTGTGTTAGTATGGAGGTTATATATGAAATGGGAACTGATCATGTAAGGTTTGAACTTTGAACTTAGTCTCAAGCAACATAGAATTAGATGTCTGTGTTGTTTCTGGAAACAAGACTCTGGACTTCAACAGAGCCAAGCTTTTGGGGACTGGTTGTCCATCGTTGTCCTTTGGCGTACCAGGACTGCAGAAGTATTTACTTCAGCTGGTGTTCTATTAGTATGCTTTTGTCAAAGGGAACAGCTTTTCTGTCTCTTCATCTGACCCTGTGTTCTGCCCTTACCTGGTAGGAATTTGATTTTGGAAAGAAACTAAAAAAAAAAAAAGAATAATAAAGCAGCTTAGCAGTGATGTATTCTTGTCCTCCGCAGCCGGACTTCAGGCAACTACAAAGCATTCTGGGTTCCCAGTAAGGATGGAAAATGCTGTCCCAATTGTACCACAAGCACCTGCAGCACAGCCACTGCAGATCCAGTCTGGAGTTCTCACACAGGTAAAAAACAGAAACAAAAAAACCCAACAGTCCGTCCCCCCCGCCCGGAGAACCTGACTGCCCCTCTGGTGCTGGGGTGACTGCAGGGGGTTCTCGGAACACTCTGAAAGGTTAAGTGCAGATCACTTCTAAGACAGTGTTTTCTTGTTTTGTTTTGTTTTTCTGGAATATCTAAAGTCTAAACTATTTTATGTCTTGTGCCACCCTGGTTTTGGGAGTTTGATTTAATAATGGGAATAAATATGTAGTTTTCAGCTGCTAAAAACAGGCTGTATTTTTTCACGGGTGTACACTGCCTTGTAGGTAGTGGTGTATGTTTTTGCCTACACTTTAAAAATGTGGCAGCAAATTTTAGAAGAAATCATTTCTGTGAGAAGCGAGATCCCAGTAAACAGAAGTGGCAACACAGATTACTCACATTAGAATTTCATTTTTAAATCAATAAAATTATTTCTGAATCCTTCTCAACTATTACATTGTTAGTGTGAATTGATGTGTGGCGCTGACATACCTATTTCTGTTGTTTGCAGTTTAAACAATATGCGATAGCAAAATTCACAAATAATTCTAAAAAAGGGTATTTTAACCATTAGTAATGTGTCGTGAATGAAAACAATTTTTATTTCCAGAAAGTAATGCTTTAATATATAGCGAGTGCCCAGTGAGTCACAGGTTTTATTCACTGAAAAATTGTAATTGCTTTTATAATTAAGTGCACTTTTATTTCTTTGCATAGTTTTAGTTTCTGCTGACGTTAACACATACTTTATTAGTTTTACTCTCCAGGCAGAATGTTGTACTTACTGACCTACTTGTAGAGGAGTAGTTTTTAGATTGTTCGGTCCAAATAATTTTGGTGGTATTCTGTGATCTCTGGTTTGTTTAGCATAATTATACAGGTAACGGTATCCAAAAAGCAGAATACACTTGAAGGAGGCCCACCTGAATCCAAACCCTGCTTTTCCTGCAAACTGTGCAAACTGTACTCTAAGAATCTAGATGTAATTAGACATTTGAGGGACTAATATGTGTCTTGGTAGTTTCATCACAGATAACTTTGCTCTTCCATGATACAAAAGACCTACCGTGCCTTCTGTTAAATCCCTTAGTTTATCTTTTTCCAAGAGTACCGTATGTGGATGTGGAGGTACGATACAGTAAATGCTGTGTCCTGCTAGGGGTGCAGTTTGTGTTATGGCTTAGTGCAGCGTATGTAGTGTAACTTGCTCTCTGGGACCCACTAAAGTACCAACAGCTGAACACTATCTCATTTTTACCTTTTTAACTGTGTCATCGGAGAGATCCTGTTCCCAGATTCCCTGTTCCTTGTGTTCCCCTCAGGGAACTGCTTAGGGGAACATGCCCGGAGGGCCTGGGTGTTGGTTTCGCTGCATCCGTTACAGTTCTGGAGTCTGCTCAAGCACCATAGAATGCCAGTGAGGTGAAACCTTTTCTGGCCCTATTGCTGAACCCACTTATCCTGCCTCAGTACATGTGTTTCACTCACTGCCTGATCTACATTTCAGGGAAGCTGTACTCCACTAATGGTAGCAACTCTTCATCCTCAAGTAGCCACCATCACGCCGCAGTATGCGGTCCCCTTTACTCTGAACTGCGCAGCCGGCCGGCCAGCGCTAGTAGAACAGACGGCTGCAGTACTGGTAATTGCCTCCCTTGATTGTGTTCACTAACTGAGTTTTTGTTTTAACTTAGACTTGCAGAGGGCATGGAAGCATGTGCCATCTTGTGGCTGTGTTCTTGCTACATCTTAATGTCTCGTTGTTTTCCTCCCCAACATTGCTGAAGCACTGTCTGACTCTGACGTTTAGTGTGGCTCTGTAAAGAATCCAGATCCATTGACTATGACTTTTTACTAGCCTAGTATTATAAAGCTCTTCTACGCTATACTATAGAAGAGTTATAATTGTTCCTGTTCTTCGCTTACTATCCTATCTTTGCCTTTTGATTGTTGAATACAAAGGAATCAGTCTTTAGCTTGACTCTGCTACAGGTACCTGGATGGCCAGAATTTGAACTACTTGGCAAGTTAGCTACATATTTTGTTTTCAACACGTGTAAAGCTGCTTTGCATGTAGAAATGTTTCAGGTCATTAAGCACAGGCTAAAACCTCTAATGACAGCAAATTCTTTAATGTATTGCTTTAGCAGTCGATTTCTCTTAACCTCTGTTGAACATTGACAATAATTTTCTGGCCTTTTGTTATTTATAGCCAATCGCAGGTAGCTTGCTTCATCCAGATAAAGATACCGTTCTTCACAGTACTTTCAGTTCATATGTATTTCTTGGTTGAAATTAAAGGTGAGCTCTAGTATCCAAAACGGCAATAGCTAGCTTTTAGGCTATTTGGAACAATTTTTAAAAAGGATGGGGGAAGGGAATAAGCACACCTTTAAGTTTTCAAAATTGTCCTCTTCTGTATTCGTTTGGCACCTGCATCAGAACAACTTTGCAAGTGCCACAAAGAAGTCATTGTAAAACTCCAGAATCAGATCAGTGAAGCTTATGAAAACATTGCAGTGCACTTAAGCGCTGGTATCCTCACATGTCTTTCAAAGCACATTCCATTATGTGAACCATGTTGTTTCTTGTGGCTTTAAAGTGGTAGTCTGAGTGTCATTTTCTTCCAAGAGGGAGACCTCTGCTGAAGTGGAATTTGCTCGAGTCATACCTGTACTGAAATTAAAACCCACTCATTTGAGTTCTTCTGAACCAAGTGAGCTGCTCCCTGTTTCTGAGGATGGGAAGGCAGGAGAGTGGGCTTCTCCTGGGTCACGGCTCTGAGCTGAGCAGACCCAGGGATGTGTCTCCTTTCCTCCTCTTGAATTGCGATTGCTGAAAGGCTGCAATCTAGGCTGTGAAAACGGCAAGGGGTGACTGTAGCAGAGCTTGGGACACAAGTGAGTTGTTAGTGATGCTTTCAAAAGTGTATTTGGGCTTTTGATTCAACAGGCAAATTCTATTCTCCTGTGTGTGTGCAGTGGACTTGGCATTCAACTCCCCTGTACAGCAGTGGAGATCAGAGCCAGCTGTCTCCAGACTATGAGCCTGGATTCTGAGTTTCTCTGGAGGACTTCACTATTTCTGTTTGGATTCTGGGAGCCTTTGGCGTGAATTTGCTCACCTTTAGTGCTTCCGACACTTCTCCCTTGCTGCTTCCCCTGAGTTTGCATTAGCCATTTGCTAAGCTTTGCATATTTTTGTCCTTCCTCTGTCAAAACAGTTCGTCGCTTGGAAGGCCCGATTTCTGCCTCTCATTGGGAATTTATACCTTGCTGTATTAAACTCTCTGCTTTGTCTTGTGCAGGTGTTGGCTTTTGGAAAGACGCATGGTGTGACTTATAACACATTTCTCTTTTTTTTTTTTTTTAATATTATTATTATTGTATTCTGCTTATGTTGGCAGAGGTTTTAGCAGTTCTCTGCTTTGAAGGCTTCTTGTTTGGAACCAGTATTTGTAATAAGTGGATCTGTTACTTGCAGAAATATTTTATGTAAAACAGCAGGTGTTTATGGTTTTGCAGTTTAAACTGCAAGAAAGAGAGCCATATATTTTCAAAATCATAGAAATATTGTACTGCCAAATTTATTTTGTTTTTTTGTTTGGTATTTTCCCCAGAAAAAACTGCATTTTGTCAATTTGGACAGGAACGTTAATAATATTAACGAACTGAAAATATCTTCACGTCTCTCCCTTGTAACTAGATGTTTCTCTCTGTGTCTTTTCTTAAATACTTTTGTTGAGGTGGAGTGAATTTCCACAATAATAGCACTGTCTCAGCTCTCTCAATGTGAGCCCTGTAAGGCAGAAAACCAGAAAGGACCAAATTGGCTTCATATTTTGGAATCCTTCAGCAGAGCAATGTGCATAAGCTTACACGCAGAAACAGTCCTGACCACTCGTGCTGCACCTGGCAGTACAATATCTGGCTGCATTAACACTCTTTTCCCCAGGTGACATCTGTGATACAAAAGGTTAGCAGTGTGTCAGGGGAAGCTTGTTTCTCTGGCTTTCTTATTCTCTTACTGTACTGAGACCCTTTGAGAAAGTGCAATGATGTGCCGTTATCTCTGCAAGCTAACAATCTACGCGAGTGCATTTATTGCTTGGAACAAATCTCTTTCTCTCTCTCTCCACCGGTAGGAACTGAAATCTAGTGAGCCTCTGTATCTGTTTGTTGTTTTGCAGCAGGCCTGGCCTGGGGGAACCCAGCAGATACTGCTTCCTTCCACCTGGCAGCAGCTCCCAGGGGTTGCTTTGCACAACTCTGTTCAGCCAGCGGCTGTGATTCCGGAGACGATTGGCGGCAGCCAGCAATTAGCTGACTGGAGGTAGGGATTGCACAGGGTCCGACTCCGTGCCAAATGGAAATACGTGCCATCGCAGTACTGCCTGCAGTGCACAGAATTTCTCCCTCCCCTTCAAAATCACGCAGGAGCTCGGTGCAGCTTGCTGCGCTTGCAGTGTACTCATGGGATTTGTGTCTTTCTCTTTTTTTTTTCCCTGCCTCAGGAACGCACATTCCCATGGAAATCAGTATAGCACTCTCATGCAACAGCCATCACTACTGACCAACCATGTGACATTAGCTACAGCGCAGCCTCTGAATGTTGGAGTTGCTCATGTTGTTAGGCAGCAGCAAAGCAGCAATGTTCCAGCAAAGAAGAACAAGCAGCCAGCACCAAACGCAGCCAAGTAAGGCTTCCTTTCCCAGCCCTAGAAAGACCGTGGGTGTGTTTGTGGAGGTTGCCTTTATGGTGTGAAAAACTGGTCTTCTGATCACAGAGGCGTTGTCTGTGTAACTTTTTAATGTGCTAAAGTTGCTTTTAAAGATGTCTCGGAAGAAGTCTCTGTACTGTAGTCACTGATATGTCATATTAATTTCAGTGAGGGTGCAAGGAACATGGTCAACCAAGTGCTTTGCTTTACTGGTCGAAGGAGGGTTTTACACATTCAGGGTGTGTTGGTGCCATGGCAATACCAGTGACAGAACTGGCATCTGTCTAGCAAGGGGTAGCAGGTTTCTGGCAGTGTTAAGATTAATCAGTCCAGAGCATCACTGTGTGCATTGGTCCCTTCTGGGATGCGTCCTATGGCGCTCTCCTGTATGAGTGACTGCACTGAGGTTCTCTTCGTGTGTTTCAAGATGTTTCTTCTTGTGTGTGTGCTCCAGCCTGCTGGAGCCTGGCTCTTCTTAATGCTGGTGCTCGTTTGTCCCAGCCTGCTGACACGTAGCTGAATACTGCTTTGGTTTTCCTTCAGGCCCAGCTCAACTCTAGAGTCTGTGCCCTCCCAAGTTTACTCGCTCATTGGGAGCAGTCCTCTGCGCTCCACCTCCTCATCTTCCAACGTGCTCGTCCCAGTGCAGGAGCAGCACCAGCCCATTGTGATCCCAGACACTCCAAGCCCACCCGTCAGTGTCATCACCATTCGCAGCGACACTGATGAGGAAGAGGACAGCAAATACAAACCTGCCAGGTAGGAGGTTCATTTAGGCAGCTGGTACTGATTTGTCTTGAGCTCAGCCCAAGCATCAAGGAGAGTGGAGAACACTACATGCAAAGCCCTGGCTAGGCTAAACAGCGCTGCGTAAGACAGAAAATTGTGCATCATGTCCGCTGTGCTGTTTGTGTCTCTAGTTAATCAGAATTTCATCTGACAAGGAGGGAGGGTATGAGATCCCAGAGGGAGATCTCCTGTATCTTGTGGTAAAAGTTAGAATGTTTCCCACCTGTTTTGTTTTGTTTTTTTTTTCTCTTCCCCCTGCAGTTTGGGTATGAAGCAGAGATCCAATGTCATCAGCTACGTTACTGTTAATGACTCCCCTGATTCCGACTCCTCCCTGAGCAGCCCCTATGCCACAGACCCACTTTCCTCTCTCAGGAGTACAGGCGGTGCCCTGGAGCTGCCGAGCAGAGGAGCGGCTGACAGCTCCAGCTCTCGGACTATCATTGTGCCACCACTGAAAACACAGCTCAATGACTGCATTGTAGCTACCCAAGCTTCAGGTGGGTATGCTCTCACAGGTTACTGTGCTCAGCAATTTTTGCCAAGGCTCAGATGGTGTCTTATCCCTGACAGCTTTGTCCTCACAGTTTTGGAATATCTGCATTGGGTCTTCAGCTGCTGTTCTGAGAGCGCAAGCCTTGGTCTGTTTTCGGTTTTGCTGATAGATTTACCTTTCATATATGTTTGGCTGCATTTAGAAAGATCTGTAAAAATTCCCAATGATTTCTTGTACAATCGGATTTTAAATCACAATTGAAGAAAAGGCTCTGTTACAGAAATAGTCTCTGTGTGTTCTTCGGTTACCTAAGCTGGTGCATGGCATGTGAAAGGGAAAAATGGACTAAGGTTTTGAAATCTTTCAGGCATCCTGAGCAGCACCAGTAAGACCAAGCCAGTGGCCTCTGTGAGCGGGCAGTCGTCAGGATGCTGTATAACACCTACTGGGTACCGCTCACATCGCGTGGTAGCAAACGGTGTGCAGCCTCTCAATCTCAGCCAGGTAAGCGCTGCGTGACTTTTGTGAACTTGAACACGATGCTTTAGAATTGCTTTAGAAACATTATGCTGTATTGCAGGGAGAATGACTTGCTTGCAAGAGGATCAATAGCTGCTACCTCATTAATTGTTTGAAGCTGATTCTGTCCTGTGGCCATACAGGGTAGGGTAAACCCTGTAGGGAGTATAGGTGAAGTTTCTCAAAGCAAAGAATTTCTTACTGTACCAGAGGGCAGGAGAAGGAAGCATGGTTATGTCCATATTCTTTCTTTGTGCTCCTCGTCACACCTGTCTTGCAGTGAGTCATTCCTGCCGCTCAGGTGGGAGAGCGACACCAGGATCCAGCTGTTGAATTAGAGTAGTGTCAAAGGCACTCAACAGTATGAGGAGATTCTTTTGTTCTTTACCTTCCTTCTCTAGATCTCACAAAGGCCCAACCAGGAGATTAAGGCTGGACCTTGTCTCTCAAACTAACAATTAGCACCTGACTTCCCTTGAAACTTTTAGAGATTGGTTTCACTTCAATTTGCATCACTACTCTTGATGTTTGAGTCAAGCTGCAGTAGCCTTTCAGAAGAGAGGAAGCATTACACCTCCAGTTCATTCCTGGCACGGGGACAAGAGAGGCTTTGTTGTGCTAAAATGGAGGGGCCCTGCTGCCGCTCTCACTGATGTGCAGAAGAACAGATGTGTGAGGAGTTCAAGGGCTGGGTCAGTCTTAGGACCTGCCTGGACTTGCACAGCTATGTATTGCGGTACCCCAGGTGTGGCAGTTTGATCCCATTGTAGAGGAAAAGTGTAACCTTTGTCTCAGTGGAACTGCAGTAACCCTTCTCAAATGTATGTGAGGGTTTCACAGAGCTGGGAAGGGAGGATCTGCAGAAGCGTTAGTCCTGCAGCTAGAGCGGAGGTGTTGATCGGGAGGCTCTGGCTGACCCTTCCTGGCTCGCCTCCTGCCCACTGCACTTTTCCCTGAGGATAGCCGCTAACCTTATTTACTTCTTCTCCCTGCAGAACCAGCAAACAACAGTGCTGGCCTCACAGGAGAGAAGTGGAAATGCTGTCCCACGTAGGCAGCAAGCTTATGTGGCACCCCTCACGTCAACTATTTCTCAGGCCCCCTACACGTTTCAGCACAGCAGCCCAGTGCATCCCCACCTGGCAGCAGCAACGGCAAATGCCCACCTGTCCAGCCAGCCGCATATGTACACTTACGCTCCAACCACTGCTGCAACGCTGGGCTCCACCACCTCCATCGCCCACCTCTTCTCCCCTCAGGGCTCTTCGCGGCACACCACGTACGCTGCCCACCCTAGCACACTTGTCCACCAGGTCCCTGTGAGTGTTGGTCCAAGTCTGCTGACTTCTGCAAATGTTCCGCCTGCCCAGTACCAACACCAGTTTGCTCCCCAGTCCTATATTGGTGCTTCCAGAGGATCTGCTATTTACACTGGATATCCGCTGAGCCCTACAAAGATCAACCAGTACTCATACTTGTAGTTCCTAGTAAAGCACTGTCCAGCAATAGGCCTGAGAGATTGGAGAAGGATTTCAGGTGAACCTTTACCTGGTAATGACTGCCTGGTTTTTGTTTCTCCCTGGTCTGGTTGTATGTTGTTCAAAAATGTCTCTAGTGAGTTCAGTCACTAACTGAGCAGCATGCTTTGTTACCAGTACGAGGGTCACTAATTGAGTTTTTAAAATTTTACTTACTTTTTATAGATGCTTTTAAAAAGTTCATGGTCACATTTATTTAAAATTGTTCTGTTGTGCTAATCAAAAGGGGAAAGAAAATCCGTGTCTTGGAAGACAGATCCTGATGACTTTTTTAACTTGTATAGCTTAAACAAGAAGACTAGCAGGTTATATTTTAGCAGCTTGCACAAATCCATGTTGCCACTAAAAATGTAATGCACGTTTATCTCGTTATGTTGCTGGGGCAGTTTTAAAATCAAGCCTAAGATTTTAACATTTGTTCTCCAATTCACTTTGTCTCTAACAAATTGCTGGTTCTGCAAAAGCCATTACATCTCCATATGCGTTACTGTCAAAGATTTTGTTTACTTCTCTGCTTTGTTTAAGGACTGGTAGAGGCAGCTGCCTCGTGCTAGCAACATTCAGGAGTCCGCGTAAACCCTGAACTCTGTTTTGTTTTCTTGAAAATTCTGTGTCTCCATAACACAGCTGAATTTTTATTGCGTTCACTGCAGAATTCTTCTAAGTTTTTCAAACCGTATTCGAGATCTCACTGTGTAACAGAACTCAGCAGCTTTGTCAGGATGCTGTAGTCTTCAGCTGAGAATGAATAGTGCAGCACTGCTCTAAAATTTGGTTTCTGCAACTTGTTAGATGCTGGCCCTATAACGGAGCTGGATTCCTTCGCAGAAGCACAGGGCTTTTCTTTGTTCTGTTTTTCTTAATATTTTTCCTCACATGATTCATTTAGGAGGGAGTTGAATTTGAAATACAATGAAACATCACTGTATTGATGTGTACAGCTTTTTATACTCCTGTGAGCGTATCCTCCTGGATATGTCAACAGCTACTTTAAAGCGCTCTTAATAAGACTTGTATACAGTACATGCATGTAGGAATCGCAAAAAAAAAAGAGAGAGAAAGAAAAAGAAAAAAAGGAAAAAAAAAATCCAGATTTTAAAGTTTATTACTGAATTTAAAACTATTTTAGAAGTTTTGTATTGGTGGTGTTTTAATATTTTACATAAAATGAAATATGTACATATTGATTAGAAAAATATAACAAGCAAAACTTCCTGCTAACCCCAAATGTTCTGTCTTTGTAATCAAAATGTGTAGTGATTATACTTGAACTCTGTACTTAGTGTTTGTCTAATTCTTAAACGTTCCTGGGGATGGAGTTGATGTATCCTTTGTATTTAAACCAAAATGAATTGATTCATGTTGGAATGTATGTGATATAATGCAATGGTTAGAGCTCATCACTGTAGCACTGAGAGAGGAGTAGAGCTTCACGAGAGGAAAGGATACCTTCTGATTTGTTTTGCACAGGTATGTGTGATGAAGAGTTGTTTGGTGTGTCCCCTTATTGTAGTGCCTTAAATGATGATGTAGTGTGACTAGAGTTTACAGTGAGCTTGCCTTATGAGGGACCAGCAAGCCCCCGTCGAATTGAAGCAATTCACTAAGCTTATCACAGCAAGAACAGCAGTATGTCGCGTAGGTGCGTTGTTCTCAGTTTTAATGCTATCATAAACAGCTACATTTTTGTTTGGAGTGAAGCGATGTTTCCTTAAAGCTTTTCCTTGAAATGGCACATGTACTGTTAGATGTCTGTCAGTGCATTTCGACTGAGGTAGTGCTGGGAATGCATTGGAATGTTTAGTCTAATATTGCAGAAGTGATTAAATATGTGCAATCACTTTTTATTAGATTAGTATGGCGTTACCTTCCCCCACGTTAAGAGCAGACATTTCTTGTAAAATATTGCTAGCTTGGTGATAGAATATTTATACCAAAGAGAGCCTGCTGTAAAGCACACAATACCATTAAAAAGTTTTGTAATGCTACTGCTAATGTGGCGTTGTTGGGAAGGTCTGTCAGCTGTAGCCCTAGTTAGTGTGCGGAGGAAATACTCATCTTGGATAATCAGTGCAGTTTTTAAACTACACTTTGTTTTCCTGGGTCCCTTGTACTAGGAATTGTTTCTCATCTTCAGTACGTAGATTAAGTATCTTGTCCAAATGGCTGATAAACTGGCTCGAGCGGTCGTATTACTGCAGCAATAAGAGGTTTTGGTAACCTTGAATCCCAGTTTATGTTCCGTCCCAGTGGAGAAGAGGCCAGTCCTCTGACCGGTATGTGACAAGAAGTGCAAAAGTCATTTCTGAAAAATTCCACATTATTGATAGAAGAAAGTCTGGACTGACCTGAAATTGGTGAACTGTTCAAGGTTGGGCATCTCTTTCGATAGAGGGATCAAGGACTTTGGAACTGGACGGTAGCATTAGCGACGTCGTTGTTCAGTGTATTTTTAGTCAGAGCACTTCCGCAAGCGTGCGGATAACCAACCGATCTTGCAATTCCACATCATTGGTGTGAACGATGCTATTTGTTGCTGTAGGCACTTTCTTACTTTTTTCCTTATTACACTGCTTGCGTTCAGTACTTGCCCTGAGATACCTCTTGGGTACAGAGTTGTGCCTTTCCATCGAAAGGCAAAACAAGCTCCAATTCCTGTTTCAGGAAAACGTTATTCCCTCTTTCACAAATAGTAAAGTGTTTTCCATGAAGTCCTAACAGGAAAAAAGACCTGTAGCAAAATCTGTTAATAATTTGGAGAAGACCTTGCCCACTTCCCCCCCAAAAAGCAGATTAAAATGACCATTTATCTTTAGAGTCCTTATTATGTACTGAAACCCAACCAGACGGATTCACAAAGCGTGGTGCCATCCCTTCCACTGTCCAAGTTTCCAAAAGCGTTGGAACACGGAGGAGTAGATGGCAATGAGAGAGGTAAAATGAAATACTCCGTTTAAAACGAGTTGTCGATTACCCCGAAATTCCTCCGTGATACGCAGCATAAACCAAGCAAACAAAACCCCACCGCGGCAGGGCCGGATTTTCATCCTGGCTCTGGCTTCACCAGTGTGGTGGCTCCCAGTCTGGCCCCAGTATGTGTTGCCCAATTTAAGTATATTGTAGTCTGCTCTAAGGAGATACATCCCTTCTTCCCATGCACATCCAGCCCTCGAATTAGGTCGCAGACTTGACTCTCCTCGTCAGAGCCGCTACACGTACTTTGTAAAGAAACGTGCTATCTCTGGGTAGAAATTGGAGTCCTCTTTAATTTTTTTAAAACTGGTTTGGGATTCACCTTTCGAATATTTGATAACCGTGGTCCCATCTAGGCTCGTCTCTGTGATTCTTGAACTGTTCAATTGGTCGTTCCTCTTACCTGACCTGTATCCGAAGCCGCGATAGCCACTGCAGAGGCAACTTCTGAGGCTTTCCTGCTTAGCACCTAGTTGATGGGATGCAGTAATTTACCTCTGACTCAGCAATTTCTTTTAGTACATGAAACTAAATTGCTTCTAAATGACAGGATTGGCACAGCCCTGCTTTCTTTTTTATTTAAACTTCTGAATGGTGCCGCATGTCCACATGGTTGTTTGTTGCTAAACTTTATATAATGTGTGATTTCAGATTCAGCTTGAAATATATCTATCTCACTACATGTAGCAGTACATTATATGTAATGTTAGTATTTCTGCTTGAATCCTTGATATTGCAATGGAATTCCTACTTTATTAAATGTATTTGATATGCTAGTTACTGTGTAAAATTTAACTTTCTTTTATGGTTGTGCTCTTCCTTTTTACAAGCCGCTAGATACAGGTAGTTTCTGACAATTACTGATCTATGTTTGTATTGCTGATGTACTTAGGGGGTATGTAAAAATCATTTTAACAAAAGAAATAGATATTTAAAAATTTAATACTAACTATATGGGAAAAGGGTCCATTGTGAAAACATAGTTTATCTTTGGATTCAATGTTTGTCTTTGGTTTTACAAAGTAGCTTGTATTTTAAGTATTTTCTACATAATATGGTAAAAATGTAGAACAATTGCAATGCATCAATAAAAAGGGTTAATTTTCTGTACTCAATTCATTTGCTCACTTGATCTGTTCCAGGGGATGGAAAAGGGGGTTTGGCACATCTGGGATGAAGTTTCACCGGCTGCCAGGGGCAGGGGCTGAGTCCCCGTCCCTGGAGGGATTTAAAAGCCGGGGAGATGCGGTGCTTGGGGACATGGGTTAGTGGTGGCCTCGGCAGTGTTAGGTTCATGGTTGGGCTCGGTGATCTTAAGGGTCTTTTCCAACCGTAATGATTCTATGATTCTATGCGAGCGCTAACTGATAATCGTTTGCTGCTGACAGCGTGGTGGAACCGTACATTCGGGGTAGCGTGCGATGCGAGGTCCTTAGCAAGCTCGTTTCAGAGCGAAGGCAGCGCGTGTCACGCCGTGCCGGGTAGCGGAGCCAGGCCCCGGCTCGACCAGGACCAGCCCCCGGCGAGCTGTGCCGGCTGGGCAGCTGCTCTGCCGCGGCTCGGGGGTCCCGCGGGCTCTGCGGCTGGCAGCGGTGCTCGTGGTGGGTAAAGCGGGATCAGGGCTATCTCAAGTGAAAAAAAACCTTTCCCATCACCCTGGTTTATGTTCATAGATGCGTTTGACTTTGCGCATCTAGCTTGGGTGCTCTGAGGAGTGCTGAAGGCGGCTGTGCTGCTGTAGAGCCGCCCGTTCTGGTCTGAACTCCGCTTGGGTTAGATGCTGCTGGGGGGTGCCGAAAATAATCTCTCCCTTCTGATCTTGGTAGATGCTTGGATGCCTGGGAAGACTTCAGTGGGAGGTGAGGACAGAGTCCCTCGCCTTCCCAAAACACCCGTGCCATGCCGGCTGATCTGGGCAGCGATGGGGCAGGGAGTGCGGAGGAAGGCTCAGCGTTTGTCCTTTGGGCTTCCCCGGGGAGCGCTTTGAGAGCCTCTGGGCGGGATGGCGGGGGAGACCGCCAGTGAAGAAGGGCTCCTCTCAGATGTCCTGTCCTCGCAGGGGCAGGTGCGGAAGGGAGCGGCTCCCAAAGCCCCCCGCAAGTCCCTGGGTCCTGGGTCACTTT